AAGGCTGAGAAGATCAGCTATCCCGGGAGGAGGCCCAGGCATTTAGATTGAGAGAGCCTGGCATCCAGACTTACGCAACCAGGCTCCCCGATTGGACACAGTGTCCCATAAGCAAACACACCAAGAATAATATTTACTTAACCTCCTTTCCCACTACTTCCCAACACACCCTGCAGCCTATGCAGCCAGGGGAGCTCGATGTTGCAAAGGGGCCCTGCCCATGCCTGCCCTGAGCCCGCGCAGGCTGTTCTCTCAAAGGGAACCCGCCCCCCACAGCCCTCCCTGCACCTCCCTGGAGACCCAGCCTTAGGGCTCCCTGGGGCCTGTGAGCTCCCCGCGCCCCCCCCCCACACACACACACACTGCACTTAGAACCTCCTTAACCGTTCTTTGCGTGTAAGCTTTCATTCCAAACCCAACCCGTCATCAGAGAAGATACCTCAGCCCTAGCTAGGCATACAGTAGGTGCTAAACAAACATTTCTTGGTGGGTTAACTCGATGGTCTTAACTGGGGGCCCACCCCACCCTTGGAGAGATCTGGCAACGTCTGGAAATCTTTGTGGTTGTCACGACTAGGGGAGTAGGCAGAGACGAAGGAGGCTGCCAAACACCCTGCGCCCCGCGGGACAGCTCCCCACGGCAAAGTCCTGAGTGTGAGATGCCAGCGGTGTGAGGCGGAGGCCCTGGCTGCTGGGGCACCTGGCCTGGCAGCCCTCTGGGGGCATCGCCTGCGCACCTTGGTACCTAACCTGAGCCTCACCAGCTCTTTTGTGTTTTTTCTGTGCAAGTCTAGGCCCAGCCCTTCCCTAACCTCCGATTGACCAAAGCAAGATGACCTCCCCACCTGCTGTCCTTCCCTCTTCCCCCTCTCCTGTCCTTCCTCCTGGGGTCTCTTCTGCCTGGAGGATGCTGAGAGTCACTTAGGACCTCCTGAACTATTCTTCACGTGTAAGCTTGGAGACAAGGAAATCAGGCACAGAGACACCAAGTGCTTTGCCAAAGGGCACGGAGCTGGTCTGGGTAGTGACAGAATTAGGAGCCAGGTTCCTGCCTCAGGCCCCTCGATAAGAAATGCCAACACATTCCTTCACAAATGTTTGCCAGGTGGGGTGGGATGGGGTGCCAGTTCCTCTCCTCTAGAATCTTTACTCCAGTTGGAGAAAGAAGCTATGTCCTCGGAGAGGGGGCGAGGGCCACCAAGACAGAGGAGTCGGAACATGAAGGCGCTGTTCGAAGGAAGGACCATTCGGGCAGGAGCTTCGCGGGGGCTCCCTGAGCGGGAGGCACTGGGGAAAATGTGGAGGGACAGGAAGGACCTGGGCGTGGAGAGGTGGAGGGAGGCATCCCGGTCAGGAGATATTGGGGGGAAAGGAGCGCAGGACTGGGGAGCCACAGGGTGGAAGAGAGTAAAGGGGGAGGCTGGAAGAGAACCTCCAATGCCACCTGAAATGCCGGAACACCACCCAGCAGCGAGCAGGGACTCTGATGACCTCTGAGCTGATGGGGGACGAGGGCACAGCAGGCTCTGGGATGCCGGGGCCTGGTGGAGGTGAGTGCGAGGGGAGGAGGAAGGACACCCAGGGGGGTGTCTACAGATGTGTCCTCATCTGCAACATGGGAATAAAAGGCAGCTTCCTCATGGAGAGATGCAGGGACTAAATGGGTCAATGCAAGGCGGGTGCTCAGGACAGGGTCTGGAATGCAGTAAGTTCTGTGGGCGTGAAGGCTGCTGTTACGTTTTATTACTTCTACTTACTACCCCCACTCCCAGGCCAGGTGACTGGTCTGAGGGCTTCTGGGTGCTGGACCAGGTAATGAGCTATGGCAAAGGAGCGCCATCAAGAAGTGACCACAGCCGAAACCGGTTTGGCTCAGTGGATAGAGCGTCGGCCTGCGGACTGAAAGGTCCCAAGTTCGATTCCGGTCAAGGGCATGTACCTGGGTTGCAGGCACATCCCCAGTAGGAGATGTGCAGGAGGCAGCTGATCGATGTTTCTCTCTCATTGATGTTTCTAACTCTCTGTCCCTCTCCCTTCCTCTCTGTAAAAAATCAATAAAATATAAAAAAAAAAAAAAAAAAAGAAGTGACCACAGATCTTGGGCCCCGGGCATGGCTGTGGAGGAAGGAGAGAGGGAGGGGTTGGGCCCCCAGGAAGACACAGAAGGAAGAGCTGGATTTGGGGCGCAGGAGGGACGTTCAGGTGGGAGGGCCAGCAGGCAGTGCAGGTGGCAAGTGCGAGTCAGGGAGCGAAGCCCAGGACGACCCCAATCCTCCCCAGGCAGGAAAGCCGGGTGGCGGCACGGCGCCCACCATCTTGGGAAGCAGCCTCAGTGTTGAGATGAGGGTGCAGTCACAGCTCCAATGCTGCCCCATGCCTCAGTTTCCCCATCTGTCCCAGGAGGGTGTGAAAGTTTGAGAACTGAGTGCCTCTCAAGCTTTTACTCCAACGTAGCCCTCCCAGCTGAAGAGCAGCAGGCATGGACTCCTGGGGATCTGGGCGTCACCCCAAGATCAGGCCACAAGCACATTTCTTTGAAGTCTTCTGTGTTGTCTTTAAATTAGCCACTATTCCACATTTCCACTCTCTAATTATAACTGTCTTAATATTAAAGCAACGTTTTGTTCTCAGATCTTCCTGCGAAGTGGCCCTGAAGAGACGCCCTGTTTATCCTGAGGTTTCATGCACTCCCCACCCATGTACCAGCCTCGCCCGCCCTCAGGTTCCATGAGGGGGACCAGCGCCCCCTTGCGGTCAGGTCAGGAACCCCCCAAGCCCTGGCCTGGAGTTCTAAGCCTGCCTATTCCTCTCCCTCTCTTCACACCCTGAGTCCCCAGGGCCCCCAGCGCCCACCTGGGGTCCTGCCCTCCTGTACAAGAGGTCAGGGAGTGGCTCCCAGGAGCCAGCAGCTGCTCTGGCTCTGGGGAGACGACACTGAGACACCGCCCGCACCCAGAGGCAGCACCTGCGTGAATGAAGCCACGAGGCTGAGCCAGCAAGCAGGGCCAGAGAGCATCGATGGCCGAGTGGGCTCAAAGCGGGTGGGCAGAGGGAAGGGCTGAGGCCAGACCCTAGGGGTCTCGTGGGGGTGACATGTGTGCCCACAGATTGCAGGTCGCTGCGGCAGGGCACAGTTGGAGGAGCTGGAACTTCGCCCCATAGGTCCGGCCCTGTAGGGCCTCGGCTGGGGTGGGAGTCTTTCTGAATCTCCTCCCGTCCCCAGCGCCAGTGAACCAGGCTGCGGTGGGCGGTGGGTGGGACTGACAACCAGGCTTGAAGCGGCAGGGCAGCGATGTGGTCAGGTGACCATGTTGGAGGAGCACTCAGGTTACTGAGTGGACGGAAGGAGGCGGGAAGGCCGTTAGGGGCCGTTGCAAAACCTGCTCAGGGGAGATGGCAGTGGGGTGGACGGGAAGGACGGGAACAAATGTCGGCATGTTTCGCTGGTTGGAAGTAGGGTGCAGCCATGGGTGGCGAGGGGCCACAGTTGTCAAGGGGGCTCCAGGTGCTGTGGCCCCCGTGGTGGCGACATAGGCTGGCCAGGGGAGGGGGGGCTGAGGGGAGACTGTGGCCGCTGCATTCGGTTTGGGAAGGTCGAGTCCGCGGAGCGGCCCGCAGACAGCTGGACGTACAAGTTGGACCGGGTCACGCTGGGGCCCCTGACGACGGTCCCTTCTGAAGAGGCCTGTGCTGTCTTCAGGCCTCCCAGTGACACACCCCAGTGCAAGGACCCTCTGCGGCCGCCTGAGGCCATTCCTTTCTGGCTGACGGCCTTTCAACGGGAACAGCACCCTGCTTCCCAGCACTCAGTTCCTCTGCTCGATGGCAAGGGAGCAGGGGTCCACAACCAAGAAAACAAGTCACCCAACCTTTCTGCTAACTGAGAGACGGTGCCCCTTCTGTCTGTCAAGCTCCCTTAGAAGCCAGACTCCCACTGATCTCTCCCCTCCCCTCCCCTCCCCTCCCCTCCCTTTCCCTTCCCTCCCCTTCCCGGGTGCTGGAGGGAGACAGGTCAGCCCCTCCCATCGC